CGAACCTTACATCCATTTGCTGAAATGTCAAATGGTCCCAAACATGCTTTTGGCTTTGAACACTGACTTTTATGTAGTTATTTCTGGTGTATGCTGACTTCAGCACTTTCACTGCCATTAGCATTATGTGGGATGATTATATGTTCATTCCTCTCAGAAAGATATGCAATTGTCTACGCAATGCATGGTTGTGTGGAATATTTTATATCAAACAAGAACAGAGATGCGTGGCAGATCATGTAACTCTAAGAAGCAAACATAAAATATTAGAAATATAGAATCATAGAATAGTTAGGGTTGGAAAGGACCTTAAGATCATCAGGTTCCAAGCCCCCCTGCCAAGGCTCTATCCAACCTGGCCTTGAACACTGCCAGGGATGCAGCATTCACAACTTCCCTAAGCAACCCATTCCAGTGCCTCACCACCCTAACAGGAAAGAACTTCTTCCTTATATCCAATCTCAACTTCCCCTGTTTAAGTTTGAACCTGTTACCCTTTGTCCTATCACTACAGTCTCTAATGAAGAGTCCAACCCCAGCATCCTTATAAGCCTCCCTTCAGATACTGGAAGGCTGCTGTGAGGTCTCCATGCAGCCTTCTCTTCTCCAGGCTGAACAGCCCCAACTTTCTCAGCCTATCTTCATGCAGGAGGTACTTCAGCCCCCTGATCATCCTTGTGGCCCTCCTCTGGACTTGTTCCAACAGTTCCATGTCCTTTTTGTGTTGAGGACACCAGAACTGCACACAATGCTCCAGGTGACGTCTCACGAGAGCAGAGTAGAGGGGCAGGATCACCTCCCTTTGACCTGCTGGTCACGCTCCTTTTGATGTAGCTCAGGATACGGTTGGCTTTCTGGGCTGTGAGCACACACTGCCGGCTCATGTTCATTTTCTCATCCACCAACACCCCCAAATCCTTCTCCACAGGGCTGCTCTGAATCTCTTCTCTGCCCAACCTGGAGCTGTGCCTGGGATTGCTCCAACCCAGGTGTACGACCTTGCACTTGGCATGGATAAACTTCATAAGGCTGGCATCAGCCCACCTTACAAGTGTGTTAAGGTCCCTCTGGATGGCATTCCTTCCCTCCAGCATTTCAACCAAACCACAAAGCTTGGTGTCATTGACAAACTTGCTGAGGGCGCACTCAATCTCACTGTCCATGTCACTGACAAAGATGTTGAACAAGACCGGTCTCAACATCAATCCGTGAGGGACACCACTCATTACTGGTCTTCTGCCAGACATTGAGCCATTGACCACAACTCTTTGCGTGCGGCCATCCAGCCAGTTCTTTATCCATTGAGTGGTCCACCTATCAAATTGATGTCTCTCCAATTTAGAGATAGGGATGTCGTATGGGACAGCGTCAAAAGTTTTGCACAAGTCCAGGTAGATGACATCAGCTACCCTACCCCTGTCCATCAGTTCTGCAGCCCCATCATAGAAGGCCACCAAATTGGTCAGGCAGGATTTCCCCTTAGTGAAGCCATGCTGGTTGTCACCAAGTACCTTGTTGATTTTCATGTGCCTTAGCATGCCTTCCAGGAGAATCTGCTCCAGGCACAGAGGTGAGACTGACTGGTCTGTAGTTCCCTGTGTCATGCATTTTCCCTTTCTTGAAAATGGGGGTTATATTTCCCTTTTTCCAGTCATCGGGAACTTCACCTGACTGCCATGTTTTTTCAAATATAATGGACAGTGGCTTAGCGACTTCATTTGCCAGCTCCTTCAGGACCTGCGGATGAATTTCATAAGCTCCCATGGACTTGTGTACGTTCAGGTTCTTAAGATGGTTAAGATGGCCTTGAGCCAGATCCTCTCCTACAGTGGGCGCAAGGTCTTCATTCTCACAGTCCCTGTGTCTGCCTTCCAAGACTTGGATAGTGTGGTCAGAGCCTTTGCCAGTGAAGATCGAGGCAAAGAAGTCATTCAGAACCTCAACCTTCTCCAAATCAAGGGTAGCCAGTTCTCCTGATAGCTTCTGGAGAAGGCCTATGTTGTCCCTAGTCTGTCTTTTATTCACTACATACCTACAGAATCCCTTGCTGTTATCCTTAACATCCCTATCCAAGTTTAATTCCAACTGGGCCATAGCTTTCCTAACCAGATCCCTAGCTTCCCGGACAACATCCCTGTATTCTTACCAGGCCACCTGACCTTACTTCCACCTTTTATAAGCCTCTTTTTTCATTTGATTTTTCCTCAGCAGCTCCTTATCCATCCAAGGAGGTCTCCTGGCCCTCCTGCTGCACTTCCTTCTAGTTGGGATGCAACACTACTGTGCTTGTAGCAGGTGACCCCTGAATATCAACCAACAGACTTGGGGCCCCCTGCCCTCTAGGGCTATATCCCATTGAACCTTACTAAGCAGGTTCCTGAAGAGGCCAAAGTCTGCTTTCTTGAAGTCCAGGGCAGTGAGCTTGCTGCACGCTCTTCTCACTGTCCTGAGGATCTCAAATTCAACCATCTCATGATCGTTGCATCCAAGGCTGCCCTGGAGTGTCACATTTCCAATGAGCTCTTCCCTGCTGGTGAGCACGAGGTCAAGCATGGCACCTCTTCTTGTCGGCTCCTCTATTACTTGCAGAAGTAAGTTGTCTTCCACACAATCAAGGAACCTCCTGGATTGCTTGTGCTGGGCTGTACCGTCCCTCCAACAGATATCAGGGTGATTGAAGTCCCCCATGAGAACAAGGGCCTGCGAGCGTGAGGCTGTTCCTATCTGCAGAGTGCTTCATCCAAAGATTCCTCTTGATCAGGCGGTCTGTAACAGATCCCCACAGTAATGTCTCCCATTGCTGTTCTCCCTTTAACCCTGATCCACAAACTCTCTGTTGACTGCTCACCTGTCCCGACAGAATTCCATACTCCCCATCCTATCCCTAACATAAATATCAACTCCCCCTCCCCGTCGGCTGCACCTGTCTTTTCTAAAGAGCCTGTAACCTTCCATTCCAACACTCCAGTCACAGGAGCCATCCCACCATGTTTCTGTGATGCCTATTATATCATACCCCCATAGATGTGCACACATCTCTATTTCCTCTTGTTTGTTCCCCATGCTACGGGCGTTTGTATAGAGGCATCTCAGCCAAGCTCCAAATGAAGCCGGCTCATTGGCTGAAGCAGCTGGAATACCTCTACATTGCTCCAAGCATTTATTATAGGTGTTGGCAACTGACTGGGTGTGTTGGGATGGAATGATGCTCCCCTCCCCCAACACACTTAAAGCCTCCTTGACCAGTCTGGTAAGCATCGTACCAAAACCGCTCAGCCAGCTCCATCAGCCCCCAGTAGACCTGGCCTACTAACTTGGGCCCCATGTTCAAGACACCCAAACCCCTGACTATGTGTCCTGGGTTCAGCAGTAGCAGTCATGCTGTAGCAGCATGTAGCAGCAGTAGCAGTCATGACTGCAGTCATGACTGCTACTGCTGAACCCAGGACACTATGACACCACCCTTTTAAGCATTTATTAACCTGGCCAATCCTCCTAGCCTTTTTAGGGTCCTCCCCTGTATTATGGGGAATTGATGAAAACACTATCTGAGCTCCAGAGCCACTAACCAACTCTCCCAAGGCTCTGTAGTCCTTATGTTCTCCAGGCTACTGCTATGTAAATCACTAGCACCCACATAGATCACTAGAAATGGGTAACAGTCTGTGGGACTTACTAGAGCAGGCAGCCTCTCTGCAACATCCCTGATCCATGCCCCTGCTAGGCAGCACACCTCCCCTGAGACTGGGTCAGGCTGTCAGATGGGTGCCTCTGTTCCTTTCAGTGTAGAGTCCCCTACTCCTATGACCCACCGCTTTCTCTTGGCAGCACCACTAGAGATCTTCTTTACCAGTGCATCAGCTGGTTGTTCATGGTGCAAGTGCTTTTCCTCATCAGGCCCCTGCAGGACAGCAAAGCGGTTCTGGGCGGGGAAAACAGATTTAGGAGAAAGGCCCTTGCTTATTTTTTTTTTCCTGTTACTAGTTCCCAGCTTCCCGGGTTAACAGCCTCCTTCTTTCCTCCATAAACTACAGGGAAGCTTGAGGCCCGTGCAGTTTGGGCCTGGAGCAAGCATTCCTGCTTCCTCTCAGCTTCCCTGACATCTGTCAGCCTATCACCAGCGTCCCACAGCTCAATCCCGGCTGCAGGAGGACCTCCACCAGGGAGCACCTGGTGCAGCCCTGCCCATTGTGCACCCTCCCCTTACCAGACCAGTGCAGGCACTCTCTACACCCCGAACTCTGCACTGCAGCCTCCCCTCTCATCGGCTCTGTCTGGGTGCCTACGCTGGCCACCGCCGGGGCAGCCAGAGCAGAGCTCCCGGACCGGACCCTGCTCATACGGCGAGTGCTCATCATCCCCCTCTCCTGCCCGCACAAACTGCCTCGATCCGATTGCTCGCCCTCCCCGGGTCAGGTTTTTACCCAGCCAGGGCTGGTGCCGCCCCCCTGGCTCCGCCCCCTGTGAGTCAGCTGCTCGCTCTCGTCAGCTGAGCTGCCGGCTCCTGGGCAGGTCCTGTCGAGGACTTGAGGCTCCCTCGGTGGCTCTCGTCCCTCCGAGTTGAGGCTCCTGGACGCTGAGCTTCCCCCACACAGGTGTTGAAGGCGTCCTCCCTCGAGTTGCTCGCCTCAGCAATTCAGCTATTGATAGTCTTTAAGGGAAATGCATGTGATTTTGCCAACAGAGAAGAGACAGAAAAAGGCATAGATTATGCTCCAGCAATCCATGGACACATAAGTGCAGTCTAAAATCCATCATCCTATTTCTACCTCAAACCTTGTTTTTTTAGTGTGTGTTATCCCAGTGGATTTCACTGTTTGCTATCTATCACTCAAGAAAGCAGGACTGTTACATAGAAAGCTCAGGAGGTAAGTATCTTTACAACCTTGTGATTCAAACATGTAAGCAGGTAAATATGCTTAAATAGTATTGAGCTACTCTCCAAATTAACTCAACAGGCAACTCATATTTCAGACTATCTAAAAACATATCAAGGTCACAGAATCACAGATTCACAGAATCACAGAATCCTAAGGGTTGGAAGGTACCTCAAAAGATCATCTAGTCCAACCTCCCTGCAAGAGCAGGGTAACCTAGAGTACATCACACAGGAACTTGTCCAGGCGGGCCTTGAATATCTCCGATGTAGGAGACTCCACAACCCCCCTGGGCAACCTGTTCCAGCGATCTGTCACTCTCACAGTAAAGAAATTTTTCCTGATGTTCACATGGAACCTCCTGTGCTCCAGTTTACACCCATTGCCCCTTGTCCTATCACTGGACATCACTGAAAAAAACCTAGCTCCATCATCCTGACACTCACCCTTTACATATTTGTAAACATTGATGAGGTCACCCCTCAGTCTCCTCTCCTCCAATCTAAAGAGTCCCAGCTCCCTCAGCCTCTCCTCATAAGAGAGATGTTCCACCCCCTTAATCATCTTTGTAGCTCTGCGCTGGACTCTTTCAAGCAATTCCCTGTACTTCTTGAACTGTGGGGCCCAGAACTGGACACAATAATCCAGATGTGGCCTCACCAAGGCAGAGTGGAGGGGGAGGAGAACCTCTCTTGACCTACTAACCACACCCTTTCTAATGCACCCTAGGATGCCATTGGCCTTCTTAGCCACAAGGGCACATTGCTGGCTCATGGTCATCCTCCTATCCACCAGGACCCCCACGACCCTTTCCCCTTCGCTACTGTCCAGCAGGTCAGCCCCCAAGCTGTACTAGTACATGGGGTTGTTTTTCCCCAGATGCAAGACTCTACACTTGCCCTTGTTGAATTTCATCAAGTTCCTCTCCACCCAACTCTCCAGCCTGTCCAGGTCTCGCTGAATGGCAACACAGCCCTCTGGTGTCTCAGCCACTCCTCCCAGTTTAGTATCATCAGCAAACTTGTTGAGGGTACATTCAGTTCCCTCATCCAGGTCACTGATGAAAATATTAAACAGCACTGGTCCCAGCACCAGCCCCTGAGGGACTCCACTAGTCACAGACCTCCAGCTAGATTCTGCCCCATTGACCACAACTCTCTGCCTTCTTCCTTCCAACCAGTTCTTGATCCACCTCACTATCTGATCATCAAGCCCACACTTCCTTAGCTTATCTATGAGGATGCTGTGGGAGACAGTATCAAATGCCTTACTGAAATCAAGAAAAACCACATCTACCGCTCTACCATCATCCATCCACCTAGTTACTTGCTCATAGAAGGCTGTAAGGTTGGTCAAACATGACTTCCCCTTGGTAAAGCCATGTTGGCTGCTCTTAATGACCCCCTCATCCTTGATATGTCTAGAGATGGTGTCAAGAATAAGTTGTTCCATCACCTTTCCAGGGACGGAGGTAAGGCTGACCGGTCTATAATTACTGGGGTCCGCCTTCTTTCCCTTCTTATAGACCGGTGTGACATTTGCCATCCTCCAATCCTCAGGCACCTCACCTGTTTCCCACGACTTACCAAAGATGATAGAGAGTGGCTCAGCAATGACCTCCGCCAGCTCCCTCAGCACCCGTGGGTGTATTCCATCTGGACCCATTGATTTATAGATGTCCAGATTACTTAACTGATCCCTAACCCAACCCTCATCTACCAAAGCAAACTCCTCCTTTATCCTGACTCCTTCCGGGGCTATAGGAATCTGGGTCCCCCGGGGAGAGTCTGCAGGAGTAAAGACAGAGGCAAAGAAGGCATTCAACACCTCTGCCTTCTTTATATCCTCTGTCTCCAGGGCACCCACCTCATTCAGCAGTGGGCCTGTACAGCTTCTTGTGTTAGTTTTATTCGCTATGTATTTGAAGAAGCCCTTTCTATTGTCCTTGACCCAACAGGTCTCTGTTCTTGAAGTAGCTGAGCAGTCCTTTGAACTACCATTTTATTGACCATCCTAATTGTAATGCATATAAATACATGTATTTATATATAAATGCATAGTAATGTATATAAAATAACAAATGTTTGGTTAATATATTTTTTGAACTCGAGTACTGTTCTTGGAAAAGGAATTTCAGTGCTGACATCCTGTGAAGATGTGAAGAAAAACCTAATCCATTTGTTTCCCTCCTAGCTTCCTTCCAGTGACTAGTGCTGCCACTTTAAGGCAAAAAATAACAAAAAAAATGTAGTTGCTTAATATTGTGAGAGATTTTGATTCAGATAAATCTAGGGCTAAAATCTATAATTTTAAGAAGGCTTGTTAAATTATTTTCTTTTTTTTTCCTGAATGAATTTCAGCAAATTCTTAGATGGCCTTAGAAAACAGTCTTGATATTCCAATGGCAATTCCTTCAGAAGAAGCATACTCCAATAGGAATTAATAATAGAAAATACAAAATGTAACTAAGTCTATGAATGCTCAAATGTTAGAAGACTTAAAGGGAATGAAGTTCCCTTCTACCTTCAGGGGAGAGGGGCGAGCTCTACCCTTGTTTATGAGACTTACCATGCCTGTAATTTCACACCCTGCAATCTTCTTCAGTAGGAATTTGTGCGTGTCCTTCATATGTCTATGCTAGATGGTTACTGATGATATAAACAGGAAAACCTTGAAACATATGCTGTAAAGGTATCTCTCTGACCAGATATGAATTCCTGTTTGACTGTGAAAGCTGGATTCAATGAGATGGGTTGAAAAGTAAAGGTATCTCTCTGACCAGATATGAATTCCTGTTTGACTGTGAAAGCTGGATTCAATGAGATGGGTTGGAAAGATCTGTGACTAAGAGCAACAGCTCTGTCCTCAGGATGAGGAGTACTGGCTAATGGCATGTTTTGCTCTGGCTTTCTCCCTGGGAGATCCAGAATTTTGCATAGGCTAAGCCCAAGGGAGAGGGTTCAATATCGAGCCCAGCTGAATTTTTCGCATCACCAGAAAGATGTTTCCAGGTTTAGCTGCAAAGTCACTCCTAGTATAACACGCTTGACTGGACACTAGTCCAAACAAGCACAAACCTAATTTCACAGACAGAACCAGGTAGACTGCAGGTAGACTGATATCTCTCTTGATCACAGAAAAGACAACTTCACATTGAAACAGAGTTTTAGATTTATCCAGGTTGGAGCACACGTGGTCCAACTTCCCTGAACATTACAACATGATCTGATCAAGCCAGCTACTTAGTGATTGGTCTTCAGAGATAAACAGCATCCTCAAGCTCTGACTCCATTTTGCTTTATTTACAGAGTGCAAATACACAATTAGTTATGCCACTCCTTCTGATTGTATACCACTCTTTCCTCCTTTCTTTACCTTCTTCTCCTGAATATCAGGGATCTATATGGACAAGAGTTTCTTAATGTCTTTGAGGAAAAAACACATACAGAAGTAACTTAAAGAGGTTGTATTTTAAGCACCAAAATGCAATGCAGGAGTACAGCCCAAAGTGAGGGTTTGAACCACAGATTTTGTTTAGTTCTTTGAAAAGCAGGTCTGAAGAGAGTTTTGCTGTACCCATATTGTCACCTGGCAGGAAAGTTGTGTGTTTTGTCAAGTCCTGTGTGGAAACCCAATGAAATAACTATATTTACATTGCAGAACTTTGCTTCTCCTTCCAGATGAAAATTTAGTAATCTTAGATTACTTTTTAACTCATGGAATATTTTAATTTTAGGAAAACTACATTATAGAATAAGAAGCAAAATTTCTAGGAAAACGGGAAGATATATGTGTGAACATGTATGTGTGTTTCTAACTTCAAGCCCATAAATTACATGAATTTAAAAATAAACAGCTACTGATTCTTTTTGCAAAACAGGACAGTTAAAGATCATAATATACTGATGTTCAACTTCAACTTAACTGTGGAATATAGGAGCTATTAATTCTCTTCTGGAAAAATTATTGGACTTAAATGGTTACTGGCTGGAGACCCACTATACTGGATTTCTCTCTCCTTACCTGATAGATATAACTTCTCATTATACCCTCCAAAATACTATCTATAGACATAACAAGAAATAACCAAATCTTCACAGGAGACATGGCTGGGAATTTAGCTGGAGAGTGTGGAGGGAGATGGATTTGCCAGAGCTGTCACTGCAGACTTGTGCTGGCAGAGTTCTGCAGGGATAGGTGGAACAGCCAGAGGTATTATATCCAGCACTGACAGATATCTGTGGGGCCTCAAACACAGGGAAAGAAGACTGTACTGGAACTGGAAAGTGAGGTGAATTCAGAGACAGTTGCTCATTAACATCCTCAATTACTTCAGAAAAATCAGATTAACATATTTTATAAAACAGAGAGAAATGCTTAAAGCACATCTGTTGAACTCAGGTAAGGCTTGCTCACAGGTTGAGCCCCAGGAGAAGTCAGAGCTCTTTGAAAGCTGAGACAACATCTTTGTTTTCTTTATGTTTCCTCTGCCAAGAGTCAACAAAAGCTCAGCTAAAAAGAATGAGCCAAAATGTCATTCTCTGTGTGACCAAGAGAAGTAAGGAGATTTGCACTTTGAATAGCAATAAGCCACAGACTCCATTCCTAATTCAGGGCTTCATTTCCCCCCCAAAATTTGATTTTTTTTTTTCCTTATTAAGCACCAAAGGATCCTGCACTGTTAAATAAGGGGACGGAGAGGAGAGTCAAAAAGAATGCAACTCCCATGGGCTGAGATAAGAACAGTTTAGTAACTAAGGTATAACACAAATCACTACTGCTACTACCAGTAATAACAATGATAAAGGAAATAACAAGGGAAGAGAATACAACACCTCACCACCAGCTGACCGATAACTCGCCCCCCAAGCCCAACCAAGCACTGACCCATACCTCCTCCAACCCCGCAGACTCCCAGCCCTTCCGGCTAACTCCCAGTTACCCCCCCAGGCATACCTCTTTGGCTAGCTTGGGTCAGGTATCCTGTCTCTGCTTCCTCCTGGCTTCCCCTCCTCCCTGGCAGAGCATGAGCCTCACAAAGTCCTTGGCCAAACCAAAACATCATTGTTATCAGCTCTGTTCCCAGGCCGAAAGTCAAATCACTGCACTGCACCAGCTACCAAGAAGAAGCAAAATGACTGCTACTGCTGAACCCAGGACAATGTTATATGCAGTTCTGTTCAAAAGTTTACAGAAGGGTTATTACCTCTGCTATGAAATCCAACAATGATTAAAATTAGTGATTATAAAAAATGGCATTACACTTAAAGAGACAGTCAAGAGAAATGATAGGTCAGATCCCTTAAGTATATCTTTAATTCATAATCTCTCTATTAGGC